TTTTTTTTTTTTTTGTACCAGGGATCAAACTCAGGACCTTGCACTTGTGAGGCAGGTGCAGTGCCACTGAGCTAAATCCCTGGCCCTGTTTAGTTTTAATTAATCTAAAGTTAAACAGTCAGGTGTAGCCAATAGCTACTGACAACACAAGCCTAGAGCAACCCCCAGGGATGAACTGCAAAATGCACACCGAAGTCTGGAGGTAACTACACCACAGGACAAGGGGAATTACTTGGAAAACTGGACTATAAGCTTGTTTCCTATTGGCGGGTAGAGAAGAGTCTTTCCTTCCAGGTAAATAGGTCTTGCTTTTATATGGTGAAAGGCTAGGAATAACTTCCTTGCCTGGTCAGGTTGGCCCAGACACTCTCAGAGGCCCCAAAGGTAGTCTACAGATGGCCCAAACCAACAGACATGAGCCAGACCCCTCCCCAAGCCAGCTGCTGCAAAGCAAATTGAATGAGTCTGGGGAGAGCACATATGGAAAAACACTGACCCAGCACTCTTCTTAAGTGGAGAGGAAAAGCAATGGCATTGGGGGAAAGAGAGGAAGTAGAAATTATGAGAAGAGATAAGAATGAGAGGACAAGGGCTGAAGGAGAATGAACCTGGGGGCTAAAGTATCACAGGGACTAGGATAAGAGCAAGGCTTTGGGAGGACAAGAATGCAAGATAGATAAAGAAGACAGAAGCCAGCAAGAAGACGTCATTGTAAAAGAAATGAGATGGGCAAATATCTGGCGATCAGAAGATTTCCAGAGCCATGCAGGATTGGATGGCTATATTGGATGCTCAGCAGGAGCCCTCACACCAAACCTACCCTAGGGGAGCAAGGGTTAGATACTTACCTCCTCGGTGGATGATCAGGAGATGGCAGGGTGGGGCTTCTTTGGTGCATTTGTTGTGGCACTTTAACCTGAGAGAAAAAGAGGGAGGAGAGAAAAAGATGGATGGGTGACTGCATGAATAGAGGGATGAGGTGTGTGGATGGATTGTAGAGTAATAGGCAGCTGGATGAATGGACAGAGAGCTATAGATAGAGGGAAGCATGGTGGGTGTGTGGATAGGTGAATGGATGAATGAGTGGGTAGATGGATGAAGTTGGGGGACAGTGAAAGAGTGAGTGGTTCATTGGTTGGTTGGGTGGATGGAGGGATGGATGGATAGATGAGTGGGTAGATGGGTAGAGTGAATGGAGAGATGAAAGAGCAGGTAGTTGGATGGTTGGATGGGTTGGTGGGTGGGTAGATAGATGGAGAGAGGACTGGGCGGGTGGATGGAAGAGTGGTTGAATGGATGGATGGATGGATGGACGGAGGAATAGGCAGTTGGATGGATGAGATGCCCAAATGGTCTGAAAAGTTCTGGGAACTTGTGGATGCTGAGATGTGACATGAGTTGGGGGAACTACTGCAAAGATGTATCCTTGGAAACCCAGGAAATTAACTCTCAAGAGAGCTTCTGTCACTGCCACTCTCTTAGGTCCATTCTGGATGGTCCAAGAAGGGTACCAACTATTTTAGCAATGGTGCCTACCCAGACTTCATGCTTTGAAAAGTACTTTCCCTTATCAGTCTGTATTTACTAGCACCATTATCACAATCCTAACCATCACCTGCCATTTCCTTGGAGACTCATTTGCCAACTACTGTACTAAATAGTTTACATATGCTATGTCATTTGATCTTTATAATATTAAGAAATTGGTATTATTATCATTCCCACTTTCCGAGTGGAAAACTGAGACTGATTACTTCTTTCAGTAAACCTGGGACAATGTCCCAAAGTTGGCCTCTCATTTATCCTAAAGGTTCAAGGTGTAGGAGATGTCAAATGAGAGCTTCCAATTAGGACAAGACTACTGACGGATATTAAAAGGTATTAAATTGAAGAGTTTAGACTCAAAATACCTTTCTTGGGAGAAGCCTAAGATACCACCTTGCTCTCTTCTTGACTTCACAAGGATAATCAAAATCCCATATTACTGTAGCTGGCTTTGTCTTTTTCTCTCTGAGTTTTATGTCAGCCAGATGGGCACACACGGAGGAAGAAGCCATAAGCACTCCATCCAGATCCCTCTTTGGATTCCCTTTCTGTTTTTGTGCTCACTAGTCTCACTTCCAAGAGCTGACACCTCTCCCAGACAGCTGCCTGCAGGCTGCTTAGAGGTTTAGTATCACAATAGGGAGTCACATACACTATACAGAGACACAAGAAGCTTGGGTTTGCCTTCTGTCCCCTTCCTCTCTGGGGATTTGATGGCTCTCTTCCACAGGGTGGTTTGAATACCAGACACAGACTTCACATTGGCTCTAGCCCAGTGGTTCTCGAAGTGGAGCCCTCTGAACAGTCCAGCAACACCTTCTGGGGGCCACTCTGGGCCCCAATCCCCAGAGCTGCTGATCAGCAACTCTGAGGTTAGGATGGAGGGATCAGTAGGCTGGACTTTAGCAAGCCCTTAAGGGGAGCCTGATGCATGTGCAGAGGGGAGAACCACCCATCTAAATGATCACTTTGGGGTGTCAGTATATTTCCCCGATTTTTCTTGGGTTCAGTCTTTCATGGCCTTGGATTTCTCTCTAACATGAAGAGGCAGACCTAGAGCCCCTGAGAATGCGAGGGGAGCCAAGGAGGAACACAAGAAGAACAAAAGAGTGTTGAGGGTGGGGGTCCAAACGTACCCGGGAGAAGTTCTTCCAAACACATGCCAACCCCACTCCCAGCCGAGGATGGACAGCCCTGTCCAAGGGGAACTGAGTCAATGTGTGTCTCCATCTGAATATCTAATTTCTCAGGTTACTGTATATGAATGACAAGTGAAACTGATTTCCCGTTCATGATAATAGGTCATGAGTTCATCTTTAAATACATTTATCTAAGTTCAAAAATATTAACAGTGAATAAATGAGAGTAATAGGTATGCCATTACACTGATCCAATCATTAATGCTGCATGGATGCATTGAAATAACACACTATACCCCACCAGGGTGTCCAATTACTGCGTGTCTGTTAAAAATAAAAAATATATTTTAAAATAATAGGGCTCATATGTAGATATGCAAAATTATAACAGCGTTGAACAGCTGATTGAGCCGGACTGAGAGAATCTCACTTAGACAATATGGAATCTTCAAAAATTGGCATTGGAAAGCCTAAGATGGTTGAAAACCATTAAGAGGGCCACACTGTTGGCAATGAATGTTACAAAGACTGAGGGACCCTGAAAGTAGCCAGCGTTAACACTTCTGTGGTACTCACAGTGCAGAAGAGAGTGTCCTGGCTGCTTTACATAATTCATGTCATCCTCATAAACAGCCCTAGGAAGTAATAATGACTGCTATCCTCACCTTACAGAGTGAGAAATCAAGGCTAAGCAAATTTGGAGAACTTGCTCAAGGTCAAATAGCCGGTAAGCAGCAGATTTTAACCAGTGGGCTAGATGCCTCCAAAATTTCCCTTCTTCTTGATTACACCTGGGGGAAGGTGTGGGCAAAGAGGGGGGTCCTGGGGAGATTTAACTACCTGAGTCAAAATGCCCTAAGATATCACCTAGCTCTCCCCACTGTAGTTGCCAGGGTAATAAAAATCCTAAGTTCTTGTGACCTGCTTGCTTGCTTGCTTGCTTGCTTGCTTGCTTGCTTGCTTTCTTTCTTTCTTTCTTTCTTTCTTTCTTCCTTCCTTCCTTCCTTTCTTCCTTCCTTCCTTCCTTCCTTCCTTCCTTCCTTCCTTTTGTTGTTGTCGTTTTGCTTTCTTTTCTAAGGCCACCAGATTCTTAGACCTATGGGGAAGATCCCAGGTTCCCTGAGATAACCAATCCTGCATTAAAACCCAGATGCAGAGCTCTGCTAACTATAAAATAAGCCATTCATTCATTCATTCATTCAACAAATGTGCAGGTACTGGGAACATACAGCAAACAAGGTCAGTGAAGCTCTGTGTTTATCAGGAGAGAGGACAGAAACAAAAGCAAATAAATCAAAAGATTGCAGGTGTGGTAGATCATGTCAAAACAATGCAAGGAAATGGGATGGAGAACTGTAGTGATGGGTGAGTCTCTGGGAAAGTGTCACCTAGGAGGGCCTCTCCCATAGGTGACAGGAGTTGAGTTTTGAGACAAAGGTTCAAGGACAAGAACAAGCTTGGTGGGTTCAGGGCTCAGAAGCTGAAGGTCAATGAGGCCAAAGGGGTGGGAATCTAGGGAAGGGGAGGTGGACAGGGCAACCAAAGCCACACCAGGAACCTGTGTTTAGTTCTCTGGGCACTGGGAAGCCCTGGGGATAGAGACACAGTCAGGGCGATGCCTGGGAAGCCCTGATCTGGGGAATCTGCTGAAGCCAAATGGGAGTCGGCCAAGCAGCATCTACACTTGGAAAAGCAGGACTCTGCTCTGGAAGCTTCCAGAAAGAAAGTTTTCCTTTCTGCCACCCCCACATACGATCTTTTCTAACAAACTCAGTTGGAAGGTTGATTTGCAGATGCTAAGAAGCCCTCTGAAGCAGGGACCAGCAATTTAATTTAACTTTTGGACCAGTGCCAATCCAGGCCAGGATGCAAGAGGCCTCCTAAAACCTCTACTCGTTTTTTGACCTCCTCTCCAAGGATTTTACTCTTCATTGCCCCCTCCTGATTGCTGCTGTGGTGGAAAAGTTCTCCTTCACCTCTGGCTAAAGAGTATGGGACATGGGCTCCTCCTTCTTCCACTCTGGGGCTTCAGAGGACAACATTAGGCTCGGGAACACAGCCTGGTTCATGCAGAAAAGTCTCAAGAAATACCTGCAATGCCAGGCACTTAAACCTTGCCCAGAGATCAGATGTGTTCAAGCTGGTCCAGGCCCAGCCGGGTTCTGTGGATGGAGTGGGCAGGATCAGCTATACTAGAATGGCCGAGCTCACAGAGGGAGGGCAAGGGAGACTACAGCCAGGTTCTGTGTCCCATGACACTGGGTCCCACGTACAGAGTCATTTTTCCAGCTGGAAATGCATATCATTCCCCCCAAATTAGGCTTTTCCTTTCTGCTGCCTATAGAAGAAAGAGCTATCAGTTGATCACCTGCTATGAAATCAAATTCCCAAGCCTTATCCTCCAAGACTCTGATCCCGGAAGGGTCTACAGGGAAAGGGAATTTCAGCAGCACTGGAGAATCACTGCTTTAGAGAAAAGTGTCCTTTTTCCCCCATGGAGGATATATCTAGGAACCCAAATCTTCTAGAAAACAATGCTCCCTTCAAAGGGGAAATGGGGTCAGGAGAGTATACCAGACAAACTTGGGTTCAAATCCTGACACCACCACTTCCCAGCTGTGACAACTTGAGCAGAGTTGCAGATCTACTCCAAACCTCAGCTTCCTTTTCTGTAAAGTAGGATCAGTTGCATCATACGTATCACTGGGTTGCAGTGAGGACAAATGCTAGGATTCAGGTAAGGCCCTGGGGACAGATCCTTGGCACACAGTAGGTACTTAAGACGTGGCGGCCAATATCATTCCTGCTACAGTAATTACTGTAACTATTGCTCCCTTGCACAGCAGCTTCCTGCTGCAAGCCTTTAAGACTTGTGACTGGGACACTTGGGGACTGGAGAATGCAGAGCCCATAACCAGCCATGGGTGGGAGGTGGCTGATGAATAGCCATTTTCCTCTCTCTTGGAGAGGGAAGGTGACCCCGAAGTCTGTTCATGGTGCCACTGGGTGCCTGTTGCCCACAGGGTATCTGTTCTTTGAAGCACCCAGCACTGGCTACTCCCCGCCCCCCCCCGCCGCATTTCCCTGTTGCTGTGGCCTGGTATCACCTCTCAAACAAACCACTTGCCCTGCAATCTTTGTCTTTGGGTCTGTGGAATCAGGAAATCCCAAACATGACACCATGATTATTACAAGCAAAGTTGAATATCATGCAACCTGCCCCAGGCTCTTA